TTTTAAGAGCCCACCCTAGTGGTAAGCATTGGAGTAAGTGTTAGACTGCCAAGTACAGAGTCTGCAGTTCAAACCCACCAGCCTCTCCACAGGAGATAGATGAAGCTGTCCGTTCCCCTAGAGCAGCGGTTCTCAACCTGTGGGTTGCGATCCCTTTGGGGGGTCCAACGACCCTTTCACTGGGGTCACCCGATTCATGAGAGTGGCAAAATTACAGTGATGAAGTAGCAACAAAAATAATGTTATGGTTGGGGGGTCACCACCACATGAGGCACTGTATGAAAGGGTCACGGGCATTAGGAAGGTTGAGAACCACTGCCTAGAGGTATACAGCCTAGGAGTCCTGCAAAGATCTATAGATAGGGCTGCTCTGAGTTGTGCTTAACTCGATGGCTTGGCGGGTTGAAGGCAATTACTGTAATGACTGTGTTGTAGTAATTACTGTGACACAGACAATCCTGCAACAACCGTGTGAACAAACAATGCTTCACAAATGGATGCAAAGGCCGTTCGGGATGCTAAAGAGGTGCGGCAAGGCACCTGCCTGCAGCTATGGGTTTGGCGGTGGATCTGTCTACAGCTCTAACGGTAGGTGCTGCACCTATGTTCACACGGACCATGGAGCACGTGAGGGCACACGCTCACAGCAGCTATTCAGACACAACCAAATACCTTGCAGGATGAGGTTCTTGGGCTGGAAGGCAAAGGACCACAGGCTTGGGAGACTTCGATGTCAGCAGGCATACACAGCACAGAGCATACAGACAGTGTTCTGCTGTCTCTTGGGAGCAGCATCAGTGGTCTTAAAGCATCGCACGTGGCCCTCTACCGTACAGCTAGTGGGCTGCTGGTGGTCCGGATCAGAGGGAAGTGAGGAAAACGAAAGATTCTAGGGAGCGATTCGACTAAAAGATGCATGAGGTCAGCATCCGCCACCTGAGACCAGAAGAACTAGACGGTGCCCGACCCTCACGACCGACCGCTCAGGCTGGGATCACAAGAAAGAGCCTGCACAGGAGGAAAGGAAGATGTGGACCCCAAAGCCAAATTCACCAGAGACCAGTCTTACTGGTCTCATAGAGACTCGAGGAACCTTCAATGCTATGGCCCAAAAACAGTGCTCTGACCTGGATGTGAAGCCGCTCGTGGAAGCATCTTTCTGCAAAGTAAGACAGAACAAACCCAAGAAGAAAAACTCCACTGCCATCTGACCAGTCTGACTCACAAGACGTCCTGCCTGCGAGTCCATTCTGACTCACAACGAGCCAATAGGACAGGGTGGACCTGTCCCCGTGGGGTTCTGAGACTGCAACTCTTCTTCTTTGTACAGAAATAGTTTTCAGTCTTGAACGAACTTGTAAACAAGAAAAAGGGGGGTGCTTGATAGCATTGATGATTGTATAGCCCTATCCGATGAGATTGAACAACACAGCTGTATGGGAAGGGGAGGGATATATTGGAATGAGGAAGGTATGTCAATAAAAATATTTTATAATAATTTATGAATTATGAAGGGTTCGTGAGGGATGGGGGAGTGGGGAGGGAGTGGGGAAAATGAGGACCTGATATTAAGGGCTCAAGTAGAAAGCAAATGTTTTGAGAATGATGATGGAAACAAATGTGCAAATGTGTTTGACACAATGGATGGATGGATGGATTGTGATAAGAATTGTACAAGACCCCAATAAAATGATTTAAAAAAATATTATTCGAGAAAAAAATAAAATTAAAATAAAACAGGGTCGATTAAAAAAAAAAATCTCTCTTAATAAAAAAGCTCCCATTTCAATAAAAACCACACCCCATCATGTAGATGTTCACAGTGATGACACTTACGTAAGCACATAAATACATGTTCAACTGGAAGATGATAACTAATTTTCTGTGACTGCTATCTTTTTTTTCCCTTTAATACCGAGAACACGATGGAGTCAATGCAGAGCCCTAAAGATAATCTAGTGGCCACCGCGTCTCTCTCAGGTCTTCACCTGGATGCTCCCGGTGCTCCAGCACAGGTAAACCAGCCTCAAGCGCTGGAATCGCTGGCTGCTCCCGTATCCGCTGGCTCATGGAGAAGAAGCCAACCGTTCTGAGAATGTTGTAAGGGGACGATTTGCAAACCCTGGGCCCGGAAACCCCTCCGAAGGCACCGCGGTGCCCATGACAACCAGGACGACCGTGGCTGCGGCCGTGCGTGCCATTTTCCCAAAATGACGTCGCAGTGCCGGTGAAAATAAAAGCTTGGCAGAAAGAAAGACGTTTTTGCACGTGCACAGTTTCTCCACCAATTGCTGCGACAACCGTGCCGCGGCTTTTCCCACGTGCAAAAACGCCACGGAAAACCGGACGCCAGGTTCCCCCATCTCGGTTAACAGTCGCAATCACCGCAGCTCCACCTCCGCAAGCAGCGCCCACCAGGGCTGCCCAGAGCCAGTTTGTGCCGAAATTAAGTTCTTGACGCCAAGAAAATGGTGGTCCGCAGCCACTGGCGGGTGGACATGGGAACGAAAAGTTCTAGATTCGGGGAGAAACAGAGGTGGCTCCGATCAGCTGCTCTGCTGCGTCTTCTCTCCCTCAATCCGGGCTCAGAAGCCTTTCGCGTTCCTCAGGGTTCCTCCCTGGGGGGTTGGGGCCCGCTGATGCTGCCCATGGGGGGAGACTGCCTGCCGAACTGCCTTCTGCTGTAGCATCATCCGTGGAACGCGTGGTCACCTTGGTGGTTCAGGGTCCTGAGAGTCCCCGGAATAGCTGCTTCGGATGCATGTAATCCGGTGCTTCCTCAAAGCTCAGCCCAAGAGAATCCTTTGAAGCACATGGCTAATTCTGCAGAGAACTCTTTACGCAAAACTTCAACCTTCTTTTCACGACTCTTTTTGTATTTTTGTTTCTCTGTTGCAGCCTTTGGTCCGTGCCATGGCAGTGAGTCCGTGCCACCTCGGGGACTCTGCTCCCCACCAAGCTGCGCAGCGATGCTGGCCTACCGGGAAGCGCTAGTGAGATGTCTGTCTTCTCTGTTGCTTGTCCCGTTGTCTCCGTACTTTCCGGACAAACCGAAATCCATAAGGAATAACAGCAATGCCCAATACCCGTTGGGAAATTATCTGGTTTAAGGTCTCTGGGAATGAAATTTTGTGTTCAATTCTACTGATTCAAATCATCTGGTCAGCTAACAAACGTTTTCACCGGGAACCTTCCTGAACAATAATGGAAGAGGTCTTCGAGGCTGGGTCCGAGGAGATCAGGGACCAGTACATCATTATCTTTTTCTTGACGTTTCCACCCTATGTGGGGGATGTTAATCCTACCTTGAAAAGTCTTACAGAGTTTGCTCTGGTACAGCAACTGATGGGGTGGGGGTGGGGGTGGGGCAGGGCTCTGGCCTTCTGAGAATCTAGGTTCACTCGCATTTCCTCCATTGGTGATGTTGATCGCCAGATAAATGTCCCTGAGAGAGCCAGACGCTATCTTCCCTACCAGTTTGTATTTCCCTCCAATGAATTCGGCCTCCATCCTGAGAAATGCAGAGTGGGGGGGGGCAACACCTGGAACTGGGGAGCAAGGGGCCTCTGGGGCAGGTCCAGCAAGCAAGGTTGCGGGGGTGGGGGGCCGCGCAGGGCAGAGTCGCCGAGAGGCACCTGATCACCACCGAGGTTTCTTTTTACCAGGCTGCCCTTTGTGAAGGGGCTCTCGCTGGTACCAGGCTGACAAGAGGGCTCCCTGGGTTAAGCACCGTCACCCAGAGAAATCCCTCTCCATCCTCAGAAGCCGCTATCTTCCTCCAGCTCCAGCAGAGACTGCAACTCTTTATGGGAGTAGCAAGCCTCACCTTGCTCTCACAGAGCGGCAGGTGGTTTCGAACTGCTGGCCTTGTGGTTGGCAGTCCACCGCTTAACCACTACACCACCAGGGCTCCTATGCTGACTCATGGCGACCTTATTTCTGAGGCTGTAAATCTTTAGGAACAGATGGCTTGGGCTTGGCTGTAAAATAAACAATAGTGACAGGGAGGAAGATTCGGGATAAAGAGGGTTGTCGCCACTGATCGCCTACGCTAAACGAAAATTTGCTGGCCGTGCCACAATAAAGGGGTGGAAAGAAATCTGGCACACGGTAGACACCTATTGGGGCGGGGGTGGGGGAGCGAGATCCAAAGCTGGGCATGCGCAGACCAAGGTCACCAGGCAGGCTGCTGAAGGTCAACCTGGGCATGCACACTAGAAACCAGTAACCCCAGGTCATACCTGCCCCTGCCCTCCTCTGCTGAAACGTTTGTACTCTCAGCCCCGGCCCCCACGTGGGGGGAAAGGAGGGATAGAAAGCGGAAACTGCGGGCAGGCCTCTCAGCTCGCTCTCAATAGTGCTCTCCATTGCCCTAGCAGTCCTCCCTTGGCTTTGCAGCCTCCTCTCATCGGCCATTTCCCGCTGGTTTTCCGTCCCCTCCGCACGCTTTCCAGATACAGCGTGTGCTATCTGAGAGTGTATTGCCCGAAACTCCCCTTACCCTCATAAAAGTTAGCTGGACTTACAAAAGTGCTCCTGCACCTGAATTCTTTCAGTGCTGAGAAGCAAGAATGGGTGGACAACCATCCCAGAAACCTACAAATAGCATCCGAGAGAAATCAACTGCATCGGAACACAAGAGCAAGCTTGGCCTAATCGGAAAGATGAGACAGAAAATCCGCCTGACAGGAAACAGGAAACCTAGGGAGGAAGTGGAGAGTGCTTACACATTTTGAGGAATGAAACCAGAGTCATGGAACACATGTGCAAACCGTCGAATGGAAAACGAACCGATTTTAACTTTCACCTAAAGCACATTTTAAAATACTACAACTCCCAGCATGCACGAGGAGAGCGGCGTGACCCTGGAGGCGCCAGTGAAAACTACAAATCCCAGGATGCCTCGGGCCCGAGGCGTCTCCATCCCCAGGCTGTTGCCTAGCGACGGAGAGATTCCGGAAGTGGGGCCGGGCTCCGCGAGGAGCTTCCGGGGCCCAGGTTGCATCAGATTCGGGAAGGCGACAGTCGCTGTGGTGGCGTTTCTGGGATTCTCCGCGATGGCAGGTTCCTCCGGGGAGCCGGGTGAGTGCGTGGGGGGCATGCTGAGGGCCGAGAGGCGTGGGGTCCCTGCCGCCTGGGACGCGACCCCCGGCCCAGCGGGGCAGCGAATTCCTGGGCGGACAGTGGCCGGGGTCCGTGCTGGGGGCGAGCCGCGGCCGGGACCTCCCACGCCGCACCCAGGCTCGGGTCGTGTCCCTCCCCGCCTCAGAGTCCCGCCTGCCCCTGCGCCCCCGATCCAGGAGTGACCCGCGTTGAGCGCGTTCGCCTGGCCGGGGACCCTCATGGACTTCGGGGGACCAGGGCGGCTCAGCTCCTGTACCCTGTCGCCTCCCTGGTGGAGGGGGCTTGGGGACGGGCAGGGGTCATGGGCACGGGCAGGGGACGCGGGGACCGCGGCCAGGCAGGCAGCACAGGCTTGGGCAGGGGGCACGGGACGCACATAAATGCGCTGAGATGCCGCGCAGGCTTTCATCTCGGCGGGACGCGTCGAAGGGAAGCGCCGCTGCCCTACTTTACTGTGCGGGGGATGAGGAGGTCACTCAACTTTGTTACATCCGCCTTCTCCCAGCCCAGGGTGGACGGGCGTTCAGGGGCAGGAGCTGGGGTGCCTCGCTCCCCTCCAGGAGGATTTGAGGTGCCACAAAGGGCTAAGTTGGCCCAGCAGCTGGCGGCCACGGGCCAGAAGGTCCCCTTGTGTTTGTACTTCAGGCAGAAATTAAGTGCTGGACCCTCGGGTCCTTCTCTCTCTGTGTCTCTCACACACACAGTGTGCAGGTTGTGCCAACGTGTCCTTGGCATCCTGTGGCTGACCCATGCTCCTGGGGGCAGAAGCCAGGCTGGGGCGTTGAGGACTTAGAGGTCCAGGAGGCAGGTAGCTCTGAACACTTGGGTAACCCAGCGACCCGGGAGGAGCCCAGATGGCAAGGTTGGCTGTCCACACCCAGACCTGGGCACACGGCATTCCACCAGGCAGGTGTGGGCTCATGTACACACACACACACACAACACACAACACACACCCAGACCCCTCTCAAAGAGCAGCCAGGCCGGGTTGTGCTTGCAGCCTGCCCCTTGCTCCCAGGAAGGCAGGGACCTTCAGCGAGTCAGAGGCAGGGCAGCGCCTTAGCACCCTGAGAGTGCCGTGGTCGGGCGGAAGCTGGTGCCTGGGTGGGTGCCGTCATCACTTGTGGTTTGGAAATGCTTGTGAGTACAGGTGACGTTTCTGTTGTCAGCGGCCTGGGTACCTTAGGTTTTCGGAGCTGATTGGTGGAGATGGTTCCAAGTTAAGATTAAACCCTCGGAAAGTGTCGGGTTTTCCCCTCCTCAGCTCACCTCTTCCCCACCATGGCCCCAGCCCCCTCTGCCACCCTTCACACCCTGTCACTGTGGGCTCTGCTCAAGACCAGGGCCTGGACCATCCTCCAACTGACTGCTCCCCGAAGTGAGCGATGCGGCCCCCACCCCCAGGAGGAACTGGACCGGCCCAGGGGGTCTGCAGAAGCAGATACTTAACGCTTTTGCCTGGATAATACAACAGTTACTAATTACCAGGGGAGCACCCCGCATATAATATATAAGTGTCTTTCTTTCTTGAAAAGGAGGCGGTAGGCCGACTAAGTTTGGGAACCGTGATCTTGTGAAAACCCACTGCTGATGGGTTGGTTCTGATTCACAGGGTAGAACAGGAGTAGAGAGCCACCTCTTTCGCCCATGGAGTGGCTGGTGGTTTCGAACTGCCGACCTTGGCAGTTAACAGCCTAGCATTGAACTACTACGCCACGAGGGTCCTTGCCGCCCTATCCAAACCAAACTCACTGTCACCAACTCGATACCAACTCATGGCAACCCTTTAGGACAGGGTGAGATTGCTTGCCTCTGTGAGCTTCCGAGACGGAAACACTTTATGAAGGTAGAAACCTCCCTCTTTCTCCCAGGAAGCAGCTGATGTTTTGAACTGTTAACCGTGGGGATTGCAGCCCAGCGTGTAACCACTCCTCCACCAGGGCTGGACCCTATAGGCCATGGGAAGTGGCAGTGGCCCATGGGGTTACTGAGACTCTTTTTGCTTGTAAGAGGCATTTTATGTAGACAACTAAAAACAGTTCAGGTGGTGTTCAGAAGCAGCATGCGATGAAAAACATGAAACCAGTCACTTTGTAAGGTATTCCCTCTTCTTGACAATGGGCGCAAGAAGTCTTTCCGCTTTATGGGAAGAGTCGGATAAACAGGCCACTCGATTTATTCTCCGTAATAACAACAGCTACAGGAAATCTAGTGGTGACATGAGGACTTGGCTGTTGGCTTGCATGTGCTCATTCTGATGGACAGCTGGCTGCCATGACTCCACATGCCCCCCATATGCTTGAGTTTCACTTACAGGGAGCACCGAGTTAGTTCCAGCACCGGAGCGAATTCCGTTGACCCCATTTGCTGCCCGTGTTTGCCTTCGGGAGGGAGCAGCCCTGGCAGGCTGGTGCCGCTCCCTGCTCGAGTCTGTAGGCTGTACATCCTCTGGCACGCCAGTGCCTGCTGACCAGGCGTGAATGTCAGGAGCTGAACTGCAGGTGGATCTCAGTTCTCTGGAGCAGTCTCTGCGAGCTCCTCATCTGCTGTCTCTGGAAAGCTGAAGGGGGCTTCGCCAGCTCCCCGCTGTCACCTTCAGGAAGCACACAGCTCAGAGGCCTAGGCTTGTCCTACAGCAGCTTGCCATCGCTGTCGTGCTGTTCAGAGCTCTCGGTCATGACTGAGCCTCACACGCTCGCTCGTCAAACTCCGAACTCGTACTCGGGGTGAAGAGACACAGGGGCGTTTGCAGGAGCTTCAAAGGGTTGAATTGGATCCACACTTCCTGCGCTGTGAACAGCGGTGGCGTGTCCATCAGGTATTACCCAGGGCTCTGGCTCGGGAACAGATTCCACACTGCAGCAGGTGTGTCAACGGTCAGAGATCTTACTCCTGCCCAAAGGCGAACCATTGTATCCTCAGCTGACAAGATTTGTGTACCACCCCACCCCCGTCCTCCCGGCACCCCGGAGCCTTTTTAATGCCCAAGTGTGACCGCCGACCGACTTCCTTAGGTTCTGCATCAGGTTTGTTCAAGCCATATACGCGGGACCGTTGATCTTGTCCCCCAGTTATCAAGTAAAGCCACACTCCTGGCCATATGTGTGTGGGCCAGGGTCATGGCGTCACGTTTGGCTGGGAAATCTGCAGCTGCTGTTGGGCGTTGGTGGCGTCTCTACTCAATGTTGACACACCATCCCCGCCAGCTCCCTGATGACTCCAGAAGGCTCCGGTCTAGTCTCCCCCACCTCCCTGGTGCAACCTAAGTTCACCACCTCTCCGAGTGCTGAAGAAGAAATAGCCGGAAGGCGCAATGTCATTGAAGGCCAAACCCCCACGGGCCACATGCACCTCAACAGGTGGGCACAGATGTCTGCCTCAGAGCCACGGCCCATGCGACTGGGGAACTGAGAGTCCTGGTCTTTTCTCAGCTGTGGCAACTCTGGGGCTCCTTGAGGCCCCCGCCCAGGCACAGGGCATGAAACGGAGAAGATCAAACCAATTGGACTGAGGTCAAGAGCGAGCCAGGGAGTACACCATTGCCGAGGGAAGGGGAGAACCTGAGTGTGGCCCCAGCCACACCTGAGCCTGACTCCCTACCAGAGTGACCAGCTTCCTCTTTCTCCCAAGGAGTGTCCAATGGTTTTGAACTGGTGACCTTGAGCTTATCAGCCCTGGTCTTGCCAGCACCAGAAGCCAATCTATACCCTGAGTCAGTCCCGGCTTAGCCATACTGATGGTTAGTTTCCAAGACAAGGTCCTTACGGGAGTGCTTTCTCCCTTGGAGCACCTGGAGGGTTTGAACCATCAACCTTGGGGTGGGCTGCCTGACACCCAGCCCACTGAACCCCCAGGGCTCCTTCCTCTCGTGAGAAGTACATGTGACCATTGGGCAGCTCTGAGAGGGGTCTGGCTCTCCAGGTGCCTGGTGTGCAGCCCTGGTTGGGTGCCTCATCTCGGGCCATCTGCCCAGGTTCCCACTGGTGGCCTGCCCAGCCTGGCCTCAGGCCATGTGTCTGCTCCCTGTGGTGGCCGCTTCTGGTTTGTGGACCTGGAGCTGCAGGGTCACTCCTGGTCACGGGACCCCCTGCAGGCGGGCACCCTGGGAGTGGGTGCTGTGGGTCACCCCTATGCGGTCCTCTTTCTGGTGACTGGTGTTTCTGGCCGAGGCTGTGAGAGCGCCCTGGTCCTTAGTTGAGCAGCCCTTCTTCAGGCCCACGCAGCCCCCGGTGTCCAGAGGCCGGGCTTGGCTGACCCCGGGGAGGTGGACTAGCCTCTGCACCGTTCCATAGGCTCCAGGTCCCCCAGGAGGTGCTGCTGGTGCTGGTGGCCCGTGCAGGCCTCGTGGAAAGAACGACTGGTCCTGGCCGGCCGGGGGCTGCGTTGTTGGGACCCATGGGTTTGTGCTCTTCATTAGTTTTCCCTGTGAACCGGGTGGCTGTTGGCCGAGCACATGGTTTCCCATGAGGACTCCTTGTGGAGTCCCTCCCACCCGTGGCCTCCCTGTGCTGCCCCCCAGTCCTCCCCTGCCAACTCTCCGAACTTGCTGCCTTTCCATCGCAAGGAGTCGGCTTTTCTCAAGGCGTGCGGAACCCCTGGTGCAGTTGTTCCCCTCAGAGGCCTGTCTGTTGTTTGGCTGAAAGCTGAGCCCCGGGGTGAGTTCAGTTCCAGGCTGAAGAGTCACACAGGGCCACCGTCTGGGGGTCCCTACCAGTCTCCATCTGCCCAGCGAGCCCGGGCTTTTGTGTGATTCCCCGTGTTTCTCCGGTCCCAGCCCAGGACCTCCTAGTGGGACCCCTTTCAGGGCAGTGGGGGCACCATCTAGTTCTTGTGGTCTCCTTGCTCCCATGTGCGCCCACACCTTCCACGTCCTCCCCTCCTCTTGGCTCCAGCCCGGGAGCCGGCATGCACTCAGGTGAGCGGGATTTGGGTTTTGTTCTCAGATGGGCTGGGTGGGACCAGCAATGGGTGCTTACCCAGCTCCCACTGCAGCTAATGCTGCCCAGCTGGGAGGCAGCTTGCAGGAAGGAGCCTAGCGGAGAGGTGGAGGAGAAATGGGGTCTGCCCTGCTGTCGCCTGATGGGCCAGGGGGAAGAGAGGACCGGGCAATGACCTCAAGGTCGGGTCTCCAACCTCCATAGGTGAGTGTGTATTCGCCCTGAGACTTGGCGATGTACCCGAATGACTCCACAGGGCAAGTGAGTGGGCGTGGCCCTGCAGATCTGGTCGGGGAGCCAGCAGGAGGTGGGGTGCTGTTGCACGACCCTGTGCCCAGCAGGACGATGCTCTGGTTGGTCCTGTCCTGCACTGTCCTCGCCATGGTTCTAGGTGAGCCCAATGCCACAGCACTGGGCCCCTTTGCCCTGCAAACAGGTGTGTGGAACCCTGGCGAGGGGCCTGGCCGACGTGGTCGTTCTGCTAGGCACCTGGTGGTGGCCAGCGTGGCAGGGGCAGGAGGCAGCATGGCTGACTTCCCCCGCCCCTGGGGACAGGGACGACAGTGTCCTGCAGGTCCACCGAGGGGCTTTGGGCAAGAGACTTGGCTGCAGAGTGGGTGCCCCCACAAACTGACCCCTTCTGGCACGAGAGCCTGGCGGAGCTCAAGAGCTCAGTGGTACTTGCCCCTCACGACAGAGGCCAGGGCTGAGCAAGGCTCAGGTCCAGAGAGGAGCCTGTCCCCAGGGGCCCAGAGGGTCGGGAAGGCCCAGCTCTGAGGAAGGGGGGTGGCCTCCGTGTGCCTGTCGGTCCCCTGGGAACCGGTGACGGTACGTGCGGTATGGCTGTGTACCAACAATGCAGTGCGCTGTGCCTCCGGCCGGCCGAGAAGGGGGTGGTGGTGGTGGCAGAGAGTGTGAGGGCAGCACAGGTGAGAGGAACGAGAGAAAGCGTGGCTGACCTCTGACTCAGGACAGGGCCTGGGCTCGGGGCTGTGGCTGATCAAGACCCCCCAGGAGGCTGGGGCCATCTTGTACTCTCCATCCTTGAGCGCTTCCTCAGGTGGCCGAGCTGCCTACCCGCTCCCTCCCACACCCAGAGGCTGCTCCGCATAGGCTCATGCATCCAGCTGGCACCTGGCAGCATGGCCAGGTCTTGAGGAGGTGCCCGCAGGCCCTGCCTGGCCTCTCCGCGGGCACAGGAAAGCTGACCCTTGTTTCCACCGTTGTCCTGGGCCTCCTGCCCAGACAAGACCACCGGCTCCCCAGAACACTGGGCCCAGCCTGGGCAGTAGCCCTGCCTTTCTCTCTGCCTGTGACCCCCTCTTGTCCATCTATAGTACTGGCAGTTCCTTGGTCGGCTTGCCTGCCAGGCGGTAGCTGAGAGCTTGAGCGCTGCGCCACCAGGGCACCCAGACCGACTGCCCTTGAGCCACCTGTTGGACAGAGTGCAGCTGCCCCAAGGATTCCAAGGCTGTGGATCTGTATGGGCAGGCGGCCTCCTCTTTCTCCCACCAAACTGCCGACCTGCTATTTCCCAGCCTGGTGCTCAGCCCGTGGCGCCACCAGCACTCCTCCTGGGAGGCTGGGGTGGGGCCAGGGGAATAAAACAGGGACTCAGTCAGGATTGGAATGGGGGTGGCATTTGAGGAGGGGGAGATGAGCTTCCCAGGCTGGACCCCAGGAAGGAGTAAGCTGGGAGGACAGGGAGGTAGAGGCTGCATGAGGGAGGGGATACAGGCCCCAGAGGGGCTTGGGCCAAACACGAAGGGCAGCCCTGAGCCTGTGCCTGAGCTGGGGGTGGGGCGGGGTGGGCAGAGGTCTCCCTGGGTCACACTGAGGGGCCTGGGGTTCTACCTGTCAGCGTACCCTTGCTCAGCCCGGGCCCTGAGCAGAAGGAAGCCAGTGGTGATTCCCAGAGTTCACCATGCAGGTCCAGAGTGTTTCTGCGGTGCCCACTCTCTCCTGGATGCCCAGGCTCAGGGCCTGTGCCGGCGGTGGCAGCAGCCCTCCCTGTTGTGTGTCCTCAGGAGTCACAGGTGGTGACCTGGTAGCTTCTGCATGGGCAGTGTGTGCCTCCCTCCACTCACTTACTCACACACTGTCACCGCCTTCCACACTGTGGGGTCGGGTGGTAGACCTGTCTCACCCCATAAGGGCAGGGCAGTGTGCATGTACCCCTACACCTCCCCACCACACTGTCACCCTACAAGTGCAGCCTGGGGTGGTGGGCTTGCCACCTGTGCACACCCACCCCGCTAAGTGTGGGGTGAGGCAGTGCCTGTGCCCCCATCTCTCACACAGACACCCACCCCCACAGTGCAGGGTGGGGTGGGGCATTGCGCCCACACGCAGTGTCGCCCTCTGTTGGATTCAGGGCGCCGTGGCGCAGTTGGGTGGTGTTCGGCTCTCAGGGTGGGGCCATGCTGGTGGAGAAGAGACCCAGGCACCTGGGGCAGCTAAGGCTTGGACAGCAGCAGCGTGCCCAGGGACTGCACTGTCCACCACTTTGACTTGGCCAGGACGCCCGAGGCTAGAGGGGTTTAGTGGCAAGTCTTTTTGTCTTCTTCCCCACATGCATCCCCCCCCTGCTCACTGGGGTGGGGTTGGGGTGATGTATGGGCCCGTAGACCCAGGAGCACATCCTGCCTGGTGCCAGATAGCTGGGCTGTGTTCCATTCCAGGACCTCAAATGCCTTCGTGCCAGTTCACCACCGTGTGGACCGTGCAGGCCATCCCCACCCAGCACAGCCCCGGGCCTGACACCCGGCGTCCTGTTTCCGCAGCTTCCGACCACAGGCAGATCCTGAGCATAGGTGATGCGGCCCAGCGGCTGGAGGCCCTCGACCAGCACCTGCGCACGCGCAGCTACGTCCAGGGCTACTCCCTGTCCCAGGCGGACGTTGACGCGTTTCGGCAGTTCTCGGTGCCTCCCTCCGACCTGCGGTTCCCCCACGTGGTGCGCTGGTTCAGGCACGTCCAGGCGGTCCTGGGTGGCCCTGGCCAGCCCTGTGCGCTTCAAGCAAGTGAGTAACCACAGCAAGCCACCACCACCCCCTGCCCACCTCTAGGCCCACTGTCCTTGGGCATCTAACTAGCATGCCCAGGCGGTAGCAGGCGAGCCGGGGGAAGAGCGACCTGTAGGCTGGACCGGGTTGGGGGGGCTAGCACAGAGAGGAGTGAGTGCACTTGCTGCGAAAAGGAGTCTCGGTGGCCTGGGTAAAGTGCTCGCTGGCTAACTGGAAGGTCAGTGATTCGAGCCCACCAGCCGCTCCACAGGAGGGAGAAAACTGTGGCTGCCGACTTCTGTAAAGATTGACAGCCTCAAACCCCCATGGGGCAGTCCTGCCTTATCCTGAGAGGTACAACCCAAACCAGGCTCCCTGCCATGAGTCCGGCACCCTACAGGAGGAGAGCTGCCCTGGTGGGTTTCTGACACCCTGACTCTGATGGGAGCAGGCAGCCCAGGGGTACGCTTAAGTCAAATCACGCGGTGCCCCTCCTCTGCCACCCCCACCCCCCAGGGCGTCAGTGTGATTGTAATGTTTTGTGGCATTGCCCATGGGTTCCCCTCTTGCAAACATGTGCATGTGTTTGGGTCTCACATGCCCTTTTCAAGAGCCTCGTGGTGCTCTGGGTTAAGCTCTGGACTGCTAACCTGAGGTCAGCTGTTCAAACCCACCAGCCGCCATGGGAGAAAGAGAAGCTCCCACGAAGAGTCACAGTCTTGGAAGCCCCACGTGGAGCTGCGTGATAGAATTTCGCAAGACCAACAGCTTCACAGAGTACTGTGACTGTTCACCTGGACCTTGCCACGCGGACCTGGGGGAACACACGGGAGCCAAGCCGCCTACACCGGTGGGAAGAGACGATGGAGAAGCTCCGCCATCAGCCAAAACCAGGCCAGGGCCCAAGGGGAACCCGCCAGTGGCTCATGCAAGCTCAGGTTGCAGCTGGAGAAATGGGAACGAGCCCACGAGAGCCCAGAGATGCCCTTGAGTCTCCCACACCCACGAGATCAAACGCTGTGGCGCACTGGGTAAGTCTGCTGTGGAGCCCTCTTTAGGCATGTCCTTTTGAGCACTAGGGTGCGCCTGGGCCTCGCCTTCTATGCATGTGAGAGCTGGACATTAAATAGGGAAGGTCTGAAGAATCGTTGATGCTCTGAACGATGGTGCTGGCGAAGACCATTGACAGTCCCACGGACTGCCACCTGTCTTGGAAGGACAGCCAGAGTGCTCCTTGGGTGTCAGGCTGGCGAGACTTCATCTCACGTACTTAGGACACGTTGTCAGGAGAGAGCGGTCCCTGGAGAAGGACGTCATGCTCGGTCACGTGGAGGGACGGCAGAACAGGAAGGCCCCTGACAAGATGGATTGCACAGTGGCTGCAGCAGTGGGCTCGGGCAGAGGAGCGATTGTGAGGATGGCGCAGGCCCGGCTGTGTTTTCTTCTGTTGGACACAGGGTCGCTGTGGGTCAGTACCACGGCCCCTAACAACACATCCCACCTGAACGGAGAGGCCACGTACAGACTAGATGGGACACAGCGAGCACCAGTGACCAGACCTGGGCATTTCACAGGCAGCTCAAGCAGACCCAGCCCTGAAGGAATGCGCTAAGACGGAGCTGGAGTCAAAGCCGAAGGCTGCGTGTGCGCAGCGTGTCTCACACGGAAACAGCCGGAGGAAACGTCGAGCCTCAAGTTGCACTCTCGAATGGTTCTGGGGCAAAATGCTGAACGAGGCAGGACGCATCCAAAGAGGAAGCGCACAGAGCCACTGCCCCACCTCCCAGAAAAAGAAGTGGACCGTGTTCAACCACTTGATGAGGGTCTTTGACTTTTCGCCCATTTCAGGGCGTGGCATGTGGCCAAAAGCGGTGGTTTTGAAGGAGGAGGGCCCAGCCTCTCTGAAGGCATTGGCGATGAACCAGGCTCGGGGAACTGCCAGGCTGCCCGTCAGCATATTCTGGCAAACTGGTGAGGCGCTCCCTGTGCCTCACCTGTGCCAAGAGATTTGGAGCCACTCCAAAGAAAGGTGACCCCTGTGTGATGCAGCAGTTACTGAGGAATATATTACTAATACCACGTGCAAGTAGAGTCTTGCTGGTGACAATCCAAAACCGGATACAGCAGGACATGGACAGGGAGTGGCCAGCCCCTCTAGCCAGCTTCAGGAAAGGACGTGGGGCAAGGGGTCTCGTTGCCCATGTTGGGTGGTTCTTGGCTCAGAACAAAGTACCAGACAGAAGAGGTCTGCTTGTGCTCTGTTGCCTGTAGAGGGATCGCCTGGGAAGAAAGGGA